ATATGAACCAGAGATATTCAGGATTGTGTGCCTCGGATGTCGGGATGAGGCCTGCTAGAAGGCTTTGGTCATTTTTCTCCTTTCGCCATATCATAGTCTGACCTTCATGAGCTGTGCCTATCGTGCATGAACAGAATGTAATTACTTGTTTTTACTTGTGTTCCCTGATTTCACTCGGCAGGATGAACCAGTTTCAGTTTCAGTTTAAACAACCAATGTGGATGAATGTTCTGGAACAGCGGTTGAAGGCCTGTTTCACTCATGCTTTAAAATATAATTTCGTTTTATTTCGACCTGCTTCGTAGAGTATCAGTTTGACTATTTTACACTTCCAAGTATTCATCGGGACACCAGTATGTTTAATGGCGTGGTTGAAAAAGAGGATTTTCAAAACAATGCTTATTTTTTGATTATGGAAGAGCAAAACTGTGAATTGCATGCATTACTGTGGTTTTTTGTCGGTTCAGGTTATCATGTTTACTTCCGCTTCACCACAGGGAACCGCGTTTACCGACCAAGGTGCTTCGTGCACGCGAAATGAAATGGCGTGATATGTGCAGTCACTGGGAATATTGGGCAATAAAGAACCGTTTCAAACTTCGCGAACGTTGTCGTAAGGGCATTCCGGACTCGATGCGTTGTGAAGCCTGGCAGCGTCTTTGTTCCAGTCCGATGGTTTTGGTTCCGCGAGTCAAAGTGGTTACAGACACCTCTCAGGACACGCGTAAACAGAATGTTCTCAAAGAATTTTTCGGCACCCTATCTCGCAATGCAAATTCCAAAAGTTTGCCAACAGTGATCACCACATCGCCCAGTTTCCGAATAAAACGAGGCAAGGCAGATGCCAGGTTAGTTATTGTGTTATCAAATACGTAATATTGTCAACTATTTGGTAATCGCAGAAGTCCTTGATGGGACACATTTGAGTGGCTCCAACTACCTCTTTTGTCCTCAGATTGTCTCTCGTGATACCCCAGTTTAGTGTAGTATTACATTGGTGCTTTTACTATAAATTATGTTAATTGTGCATTTTTGTATTTCTGGTTGAAACTGATATTTTTTTAAAAAGAGAACTATACCTTCACTTCTCGTTTAGATCAACCCGTTCTTTCGCTATCATTCCTGTCTCTCAGCTCTATGCCTGAACGCACTTTGTGAGTGATCAGATTTGTTTTCCTTCATCTCGTGTTTGTTTCTGGGTTTTAGCCATTTCTATCTATTCCAAGTACATTTGTTTTTGTTAGTCCTTCTTGTTTGCCGAGGGTTTATTTTTTCTGAGTTGTGTTGAAGCTATGGGGATACTGACGTCCAAAAGTTTTCACACACTATCCGACGAGCAAATATAATGTGAACCATAGGGGTTGCGGTGGGAATTCTGTCCGAAGTGTATCATTGAATTAAACTGTCTCGGTTGTTTGATTTCTTGTGTGCGAGATTCTCTTCCCTTTGATTTTCAAGGGACAGTTGCTGGCATCCTTGCTCGTACGGATCATTTTCATTTCGCCAAGCTAACCGAGAGACGCATTGCTAATCTGGTGAATGCCTAACCGGTGTGGGTGACCAAGCTGAAAGTCCGTGGGGGTGCCTCTGTGGTCAGTTGACAAGTATATGGTGAAGTTGAGCGGGGAACAATGGTCTAAATTTGGGGAGTCAATGTGTTTCCTTTCTTCAATATGTGAACCCCTGTATCCCAGTTGTCACTCCCTTGCCTGGATCAATGGACATATGTACAATCGATTTCCTTCAATTAGCTATAGACTGAGCAATCTTTGCAGTTTTTCACATTTAACTCACGGTTACCTGGGATTAATGGTGTGGGATAATTGATATTGATTGATTAGGAATGAACATCCTTCAGACTTCATCCTCACGCGCATTCCTCAATTGTTCCATTCAATCCTACACTCGGAAGCACTTATATGAGCTCATCAGTAGTGCATACCCACGGTCTCGTCCGGGATTTGAACTCCCGAAGGTGTGTGTGTTACCACTGTGCCAGCCAACTCATGCCAGGGCAGTTTTGTCTCAGTTATTTTCGTTGTTTTTATTTCGAAATCACCCTTCTTTTTGCCTGATTCTGTCAAGGTTTTCTGAATGTCTAGTCAGATTTGTTAGTGTTGGTTATATCGGTCAGAGTACTGGTTCACCACCATGTCCGAGGATCAAAATAACGTGGCACGAAGCGGTATGGCTGCGCGTAGTAAACAGTAACGCTCTTGCATCTATTCAATGCCCTTGCTCTAGTCCTCATGAATTCTCTATTTTCACCCTGAAACTTATTTGAACGTCACAATCTTCTGTTTACACCTTCGCCCAAATGGGCAGCTAGAACCGGCGAACAAAAGTGCATGGATAATGTTTGTTTAAACGGAAATCGAAGCATTACCCCTACATGCATGCGTTGATTTCTTTTTTGTATATACATGTTTATTTTGCGTCTGGTAATATCTACATGATTGGATAGAATTTCCGTGGAAGCACACGACGTGGTGATTGCCACTTGTCCGGTATTGGTATCCTTTATCTCATACTTGAACCCCTGATGTAAATTTTCATCCAATCACTGAGCAGTCATACGGGGCTTGGTTTTTGCGGATACACTGTTCCAATCAGTCCATCGGCGAATCAAAGCGATGATTTTAAGCAAAGGACTAATTTTGAATATCATATCGCTTATTAGGAATTTGTGATGAATGGTGTGTGGTATGGTTAGAGATGGATGTTTTGGTAAGTGGATATCACCAACAGATGCTCCTTCAGTAGCCCCTTAATGACGCTTTCATGATGTCTGTTGAGGAGTTTCTACTCACTGTATTCTACCAGTGCATTGTTTTTACGAAGATGAGAGAATAAAAAAAACCAACCTACTGGGATTATAAGGGGATTGATAAATCACCGGTGGTTATTTCGTTTAGGAGATTTGGAAAACCCTGATTCCAGATTATGTGTTTGAGGTGTATTTAATTGCGATACACTTGTTTGATGAGATCAGATAAACCATATAGTCACGAGCATCTGCTGTTCACTCATGGAAACCGACAATCGAAGCCCCTAAACTTGAGGTAACGAACCATGTAAGTATGCTACGCTTAGTTAGGCGTGGTATTGAGTCAGGCAACAGCGAACCACCCTCAGGATCACTGAATTTGCGGTCACCGGCTTGTTTGTGGAATTGAAGTGTGCTTGACACCAGGCTTGCAAGCCTCGTCCGAACGGTTCATGGTCACATAGTTGAATGATATCATTTACCATGAATTCATATACGTTTCGAAATAGTTAATTTTCAGCGGAAGCAGCTATTGTTGCTCGTATAATTATCTTTCCTTACTTCCAATTACTCGAATACACACCAAATAACCACTTTCTGTTGAGTTTGCTTTCCGGTTTTCAAATCATGGGTTACAACATTTGGCATCGATCGATTTCGTTCTTCGTCTGTTGCATGCTAGTATTGACAATAAACTTCACCGTGCGTCTCTTACTTGAACCTAATCTAATTGAACCGTAGAGGTATATTAAATACCGTGCGAACTATAGGTGGTTCGATGAGTTTGGGCTAGATCCAAAACCTGGTACGTTAAACGGGTCTCCATCGAATAGCCATGCTTTGCTATGCCATCAGTTTGCGGCTGTACCTATTCGTTCGGTCATACAGTATAAATCTTACGTTAGGTTCATGGATTTGTATTGCAGTGAGAATTGGGCTAATGTAGCAGTATCAATTTGCATTATTTTCACATCGACATACCAGATTTTTGTCTCGTCCTACCGGGATGTAATCACCGGATATCGAAACAAGTTTAAAGCTGACTTTTTAAAGAAACAAAGTGTGAATTGTGGTTTCCCTGTCACTTCTACCCGGCCACCTATCGTCCATACCAATCTGCTTTTCCATTGCCTACATTCATAGCACAGCTATCAAAGCCACCATGTAGAAACAGAGCCGCGAAAAAAAAAATGGGGGAGGAGAATGTGGATGAAAATAGAATCGGGTTGTTTATCGCGTCTATACATTTGATTTTCACTCTGGTCCCAGTGAAACCGATTGCATTGGATTTCTCGCACGGTTTTCTGGGTCTAATATTTTCTGATCACCTGGCTATCTATGCATTTTTCACAGAATCCTGTGATATCTTGCTCCTTAACCGCTTATGGGTGGTTATCACCTACTTACCTTACAGTCAATGGTTTGTGCACTAACCACTTTTTCTCGCTCATGTGCGCTGTTATCTGTGACAATCGGTACAGTTTTTCAAGTAAAACCGCCTTTCTTGTTCCATTTCCACTTGGCACTATCAACAGACGGAAGTTTCTGTTTCGGAAGTTGTACGGGTGAGTTTCCCCCACTAAAAGTGTCTGTCTGTCCACGCCTGTGCCCGCTTTGCTCATGCTTCCTACCGATGTAATCACTTGATATGCGAAGCAGACATACATACATACAAACCACCGCTCATTTTCACATCGCTTTTGTCTTGCAATACATGTGCACACTCCTTTCAATCTCACTCACGTCATTGCAAATTATTTCTGTTCGGTTTGTTCAAAAATATGTATAGGCCACTATCTTAACGGAACTTTTATTTCATCCTGTTTCACTCGGGTGCCAACAGAGAACTGATTCGTTGGGGGGAGGTGGACACCGTACGTTGGCTACTTTGGTCCACACCATTTCTCTATAGTTTGTTTTCCGAATTATGTCCAAGTTATTTTGATATGTGATACAGTTGACTGATTAGGATGCTTTTCTGAATGAGCTGTGATCGGGCGCGCATACATACAACAGTCTGCGGTAACAGACCCAACATCCTCTAATCATAAATAAAATAATAAATGTCTTTTTACTTCCTTTTTCTATTTATGGAATATGCAAATGTACAGTCAACTTTCAGGAAGGAGGCTTCGGCCATACAAAGGCTGTCTGGGGAAAATACAGATATAGGGAAGACGGGCGACAGTGGAGCGGCTTGAACCCGGGACACCCAGGTTACTAGTTGGTGACCTAACCACTTGGACACCACCGCCATCATCGTCATCATCACATCACTCTGCGTTGCGCGCACGCACATAAGAGGACATACGAACTGTATTTCGTTACATTACTCAAGCAGAATGCCCCTCCAGTCAACGCTTTCGGCCTTGTCAGATAGAGAGAAATCCGCAGTACAGGAGAATGAGCTGTTGTTGTGGCACCCAATTGATGCCGAAACATACGAATGGAATTGGGGATCTGATTGGCAGACACAGTGATGCGAAGATCAGATGCACAGTTGTTCCACGTTGCAATCGTGAATAAACCCGAACTCGGAACGTGAGAGTTGGATGGAAGGTTGTCACCCTGGGTGTAGAGATGCGCGAAGCAGATCGAACTCTCCCCCACCCCACGACCAGATTCGATGGCATTATGATAGTAATCTCAAATTTTCGTCGTTTTTGGTGGTCTGCTCATTTTCGCTCTCGGTGTTTCCCCAGAATTGTGCTCAGGTTGGCGTCACTCTTATGACAGCTATGGTTCATTCTTGGGACCCTAACCAATCATTTTCAACAACCCTCTTTTTTGAAAACTGTTCGGTGTTTACGTACCAAATAAAGAGGCGTTGTATATTGAGAAGGTAAGCTCTTGGTCATTCTGAATGAAATTGCAGCTGAATTTCGGTCTACACCAGTCCTGTAACCGCCAACCAGACAGATAGCAACATCCGTCGCAGATAATACGTTATATTCTGAAGGGATTTGGGGGATTTTTCTAAGTGCGGATTAGTGATTTGACACAAAATCGCTGCTGTACAACGCAATCTCGCGTGAAGTGACTCGTGTGAGTGTCTCTATGGGCGGCCAAAAACTGAGTGCCCTACATCACGGTTCGATATGCATTCAATGTTCTCTTAACACTAGGCAACTCCGCATTGAATACACACTGAACCGTTAGAAAGTAACACTGCTGTGGTTGACCGAATCATACTGCAAGATGGACAGAAATTGGAATAAAGGGCCAGTGCGATAGCCGTTTTGTTGATGTTCACCGCTTACATGAGTTCTTAAAGACTCAGAACATTGATTGGCATGATTGGCAAAAAAAATAATCGCTTGCTTGAACTTCAATCAGTTATTTCTCCTCATCGCAAACGTTCCCTATGTTCTCGAGACACTCTGTACATGTTGCTCACTGTTCACATCTACTTTGCATGTGCACAACTGGTTGGTACTACATTTCATTCTGATTGCTCTCACTAACTCTAATCCACCCCACCCACCTCTCCTCCCAATCCCAAATGTGGTCATCTGCATGGGTTCATGATATCCACACTATTCTCTTTGTCCACTTAAATTTCAGAAATACCGGTGCATTGGCCATACCGCCTCTTCCATTCCCTGGTTCTGAGGCCAATAGTCGTTCCGCTTCACCCGGTCCTAGTTATCCCTCTCTACGGATGGATCAGTCATCCGGCCCTATTCCCGACGCGGGAGATATGGATCTTCAAGTACCTAATCCTTCCGCCGCATCCGAAGCGGACACAAGCAGCGTTCTATTCTCCTGGTCGCATACAAATGCCAACGGCGATTCCGGTCCGGTAGGCAGTGGGCGACATCGAGCAAATGTTGTCAGTGGTAGTTTTCATAATTTGATGTACACAGGGTGTACAATGGATCCTGTCGGATCACCCTCACACTTGGGAACATTTTCCACATACACGACTGCCGTTTCAGTCCACGAGAATTCATGCTCCCCGATTCCCCCAATCGATCTGACTGCAGCCGAGTCAGATCAAACTGCTGTGGCTAGCAGCTCCGGTGGTTATGCTAGTTTAAGCACCAACAGTGGAACGGACAGCGTCAGTATTCGGCGCAGTACACGTAAAGCAGTTCCTCCCGGCAATGTATCCACCGATTCATGTGCTTCCTCCTTGACCTCCTCCTCAGTTGCCTCCTCACTGTCTATTCTGTGGCATCCTACACACTCGACCGAGTTGCCCATCAGTCTTCATCAATCCACCGCGGATATTGAGGATGCTCGAGCCACTCTCGTACCCACAGGTGATCCAGACCCGGTCGAACTGTACACATATTATTGCTCACAAGAAGGCACACAGGCGAACTGTGATCAGATTCGGCGGGATATTGACCGCCAATTCCCGTTTCATGAATTGTTCAGTCAGAAAGGAGGCCATGGGTAAGTTGTGTTTGTATGCCGCACTATTCGAAATTCTAATTTACTTTGTATCATTGAGTTGACTCAAATCACAAACAATCGATATTGCAAATGGTTGACTGATTGACCACTAGAGAGCTGTAGATAGTGTTCATGCTTAACTCGTTTTTTCTTCTTTTTTTGGTACGGTCTCGAGTTTTTGAACATTCCTTTGAACAACTGTGTTTCGTGAAGTATTTCCCCTCCCCCCATTTGAAATGCACGTACGAATTCTCACGGGTGTCTTTTGTGATCCACCACTCTGAAAACAGAGATCAGTTGCCAGTTTCCGTAACCAGACCCTAGATTTGTATAACTGTGGTTTGCGTTTTTTACTTCCAATCACTAAAGGTTGCGAACCCCACCATAAGCCAGAAGATACATGATTTCGAAACAGCATCGACAGTTTAACTTTAAATGTTGCTGTCCTGGAAGGTTCTGTACTTTTCCCCATCATTTTTTCTGACATTCATTGATGATTATTCTTCAACTTCCAAACTTATACTTTTGTCGATGACACTACCCTACACTCTTGTTTGTCCGATTCCTCCTCGTACTTTACAAAGCTCAGATTCACTCTACACGTGAATACAGCAGTCATGTGTGGAGTAGATCTTCGTCTAACTCACTGTCTTTTCCTGATCGGGTACAACATAAGGTCATCAATAACCCGTCCCAAACACGAATCACTAGCTCACACATTCGAGCAGTCGCTTCCTTATCCTTATTCCACTGATATTATTTTATTTCTTATTATAACGACCTTGCCTCTGCCATTTGTTCTTCCTCGTAGATTCCGTCACCCATTCGTAGTGACTATCCCTTCAATGGTTTTGTTTTCCCATGAACAGTACAACTACGGAACACTCTCTCTTTCGGTTTTCCTTCCGACTTCTATCTTGAATGTTCCCTGTACTCCTATGTTCAGTGTATCTTAGGGTTTACGCCCGTAACTTCTGTCAGCGGTGTGCTTTGGATCCTATGATCCGAGGTTCGAGCCCCACCACCACCACCTAACTTTAATGGTAGGCAGCTTTGCTGTTGTCCGGTTCAATACCACACCTAACCTATCGAGACCTTATGTATTTCGTCACTCCCAGTCCCTGAGCTTGGGTTACCGGTTTCCATCACTAAGCAGCAGGTCTTCGTGGCTATGTGGCTAACCCCGTCTGCTGTCCATCACACTAAAGTGTGCAATAAAAAAGTAAAAATGAGTTCATTTGTGGCTTTCTTTTCAGTTTTTTTTGAAGTTGTCGTTTCACTCCATTTTCTTGGATTCGCTCGTTTGTTCGTTTATGCTATCCCTAGCACGCACAGCTCCGGAATTATCAAATACTGTTCATCTCAGTTTGGTTGTGAATACATAGCTCTCCTATCTTTCGGTACGGAAGGCATAGCCTGACGATGGGGTACCTGCTTCACCAAAAGCTTTAATTTTAGGTTTTCGTAACCTGGATATAGGTCTTCGGTTCCACGATATCTCTTCTAGATATTGCCTTCCACACTGTCTTGTAGATTGGAAAGAATGTAAACATTTGGACTGCTTCATTTATTGGTTTCTGCGACTGTTTTTATTTTTTTATTTTCTCTGATCAAGTTTTCGACACCAAATTTCATCGACAAAAAAGTCGACCTCAAAATCCGGTTGTCGACCACATTCATCTGTAACCAAATATCGACTTCAATAAGAATTTCGCAAAACTGGGACTTAAAAATAATGGTTTCCTGTTGTAAAAGAGAAATTTTTGTGGCCGAGTACGCTTCCCGTGCCGTGTCGGGTCGAGTGTATTCTGCAGCAGTTCAACTAGTGCTGCTATACAATGCATAAACTTGGCCGTTACGAAAATAGGATAATGATAGACTGTCGGTTTTCAAACATCGCTGTATACTTATTGCTTTGTACGAGTCTTATGGGGTAATCGGACAAGCAATGCTGAGGTTATGTGCAGAGCTTTAGATAATCGCGGTCGCCCACGCGTGTGAATGGTTGACTTCGGTAGACTGCGTTGATAGGAGCATGTGTTACGCATACCACCAAATAGACTGCCACAGCAGCTAGTGGATGGAAGAAACCGTAGGTGGTCAAACTACAACCTGGTATAAGGGTATAAAAATCTTGACAAAGACACTGTTTATTACGCACATTAATTTTTGAGAACAGCAGACGGGCAATCCCCATAATCACGAAAACCTGCTATTCATTGATGAAAACCGGTACCATAAGTCCCGGGCTTTGTAGTGGTGAGCCACATAAGACCCCGCTAGCCTAGGTGTGGTATTAAATCGGACGATAAAGAGACTTGCTAATATGGGTGGAAACATCGGGATCAGTGTTACCGATGGTTAGAGACACTGAGCGATATGAATACCTGTCGTAAACAGTAACGCTCGTGCATCTATTCAATGCTCTTGTAACCCTAGTTTTCATGAATTCTCTGTTTTCACTCCGACACTTATTGGAACATTCCAGTCTTTCCTTTACCCCTTCACCCGAATGGTCAGCCAAGAGGTAGCAACCAAAATCGGCACACAAAAATGAATGGTTAATGGTTGTACAAACTGAAACGAGTAGAGTTCAAGCACAAAAGTGGATAGACGGTGTTATACCGAAAATGTATGCTTTTGAGCAACTGTGTTTTACGTGAGGATCAGTGCTCTCACTACGTTTCTGATGATGACCGACGACACACGGTTTTTGGAGGCAGAGTCAATGCAAATTACAAACCGGTGTAGCTCCCCATTGTACACTGACCACAGGCCTGTACTGTGGAAATTCGAGTTTCCAGCTGACCGCCGCGACCATGCCTCCGCATCCGGCGAGGTGCTGGAGGAAGATATAGGTGTTTTACATCACTGCACAGTTTGTTTAGAATTTGACCCCGCCTGATGTCTTCGTTGTGGGAATACTCACCCACTTCGTTTGTCACAGCGTTGCCGAACATGGATTCTAGAAATACTAATTTAATATCTGAGATACGTCAATCTTCTTTGGCATACTTGAACGACGAGGAGCACATAACTTGTTTTTGTGCTTCCAGGACAACTTGGTTTATTGCTTTGATATACTACTTATCCTGGTCTGACTTTGGCTTTGGTGTTCTCTCTCAGCTTTTAAGCGTTCAACTTGGTTTGGTAAATCGCATTCCATAGTTAATAAAGTGCCACAAACCTGTTGTCACGAAAATAATTATTTTGTCAGCTTTCGTGCTACGGTTCGATTTGTCTTCTTTATTTCTGTACGGTTACCGTTCAGTCACATGACCACATGAACAATACAACTCACGTGAAGCATCGTATAGGCACTCTATCTCCAAACTGAGATCACTCTCTCACTGCCTTCACTAACAATCGTGGTGTGATTCGAAATATTTATTCTGTTCACCAATCTTCTTCCTCCATAGCTTTATTTTTCACCAAAACACAAACACACAAACCTCCCCTTCAGACACAACTCGTCCTCAGTTCTCCTATTGCCCAGATTATAACAGCCAAATTACTATTGTCGGAGATTTCAATGTCCACAACAAGGAATAGCTAAACCATTCGTTAGACACTTCTTTCTGGGACGCGAAGCTGAGAATTTTGTTGTTCTTAACAACCTGATTCAACTAGTTAATCTCCCACACGCCGACACCTTTGATCTTATTTTCACATCCATTCCCTCTTCTTTTTCCAGCATCACTTCCCTTTCCTCGTTCGGCTCATCGGACGTTTGCTTCATTTTCCTTTCTGATATATTTCTATCGCTCCGTTCACCACCTAACTCCAGGAGCATCTTTTTGCAGCACAACTCAGTCAAATGGGACGGTTTTCGTGACTTTCCCTAATGACTGTTGTTTCAAATCTGATGTTTCTACGTTTATTTCAAACTTCATTGAGATTGCTGTTCAAGGTGTGTTTCTTCATGTTGAGCACTTACAAACCCGTCCGACTGCGATCTACTGAGTATTGTAATCACACCTGCAACCGTGCTTTACGTTAGCATTACGCCGTTAGCACAGCTAACCCAACATAACATCTCAAAACCGTTTCGTGCGAGACGGAAACAAATACTCGTTTACCATGCATAGCTGAAGAACACCTAATTCGCTACGAGGCAGAGCCTCTGGCTTCTTCCACCACTGGTAATGGAACATTCGGGTCCCTCGCTAAAGCCGTCTCACGTTATTACTACCCTCCCAAATTTCCTTTTGCAATTCTTCTGGTTCTCTTGTTTGTGAATCCCGCGAAAAAAACCGGGTATTCGCTTTCCCGTTCGCCTCCAACTTCACTTTATGTATTGACTCCACTCTCCAACTCTCTTCCCATTTACCTCATAACAACAACATAATCATCACCGTACAGCGAAATGCAGTAAAGCGAACTTCACTGATCGCTACCAACACTCACTCTCACTTATATAATTTCTAAGTTTTAAAACTATTATCTCCGACCAACTGTGTCCGTTCCTCAGACACTCAAGTTTGTTGAATGACCAACAATATGGATTTCGCCCTCACCGATCCATGGGTGACCTGCCATCATGGTCAGCTGCACTCGATAAACACGGAGAAACTCACATGGTCTCGCTCAACATTCCAAAGGTCTTCGACAGCGTTTAACCCGAAGGTCTTCTGTCGAAATTATCGACGTTATCATTCTGTCCGTCTCCTTTATCGTGGCTCTAATGTTTCCTCAGCAAGCCAACCATCTTCGCCCGAGTCGATGAGTTTCCATCCCGGTCATTCTCTGTGAGTGTCGGTGTTCACGAAAGCTCCATACATTCATCCATCTCCTTTATTCTATTAATTAACGATCTGTTGTCCAAAACATTTGATTTCATTCACTGCATTGCCGATGATGCCACCCTTCATTGTTCTGTTTACCTCATGACCCATCAGGTCACTGTGAATATCGACCACGGTCACAATGTTCGTAGTGCTTCTCTTTCCTCCGATCTAGGGCTCATCTCCGTGTGGAGTTTTACTGACCAAGTTTCCAAAACCTCTCCTTTCAGTTTCTCTTAAACTTGCCTCATGTTCTCCTGAATTTTTTCTACCCACTTCCCCCCCCCTCTCCGTTCCTTACATGTTCTGTCTTCTGGGTTGATTCATAAGTTGTGCTCTCTGTCTAACTTTTATTCTCACTTGCCTCTCGCGCTGCACGTAGTCGGTTTCCTATTCCGCGTCAGATGCTTCTTCACATTCAACCTCGTTCTCCTTTCACAAAACGCTCCAGTTCACCAGATGCTCGAATACCGCAATCACGTTTGGGGTTGTAGCTTCATATTCCGTGTCCCACGTAAGGTAATTTGGCTAATCAACCAACCGCCTTTAACTTCAAATCTTCAATTGCTTTCCATCGCGGGTGGTTGCTTCATTGTCTTTTCTCCGCAGCTCCCTTACCTTTGTTGTTCTCTCGTCCATCCCATTCTCGGTTGAACATTCATCCTTATCAGATTTCTGTCTCCAGATGTCGAACTTCTATCTTCCTCTCTTTCGCCAAGAACGCAAAGTCGTTGGACACTTCCCATCTCCATATTTTCCACCTCTTGTAATCTTATTCTTTTTAAAAACAGAGTTAACCAAATGGTGTTCTCGCATGATTGTTCCTCCATCCACCTTCCTTTCTTGCAGTATGTTCTTGAATGTAAATCACTTGATGTGCATAAAAAACGTCAACATGGTTGAGCATAGTTGGGGATTGTCAGGCTGTTACGAAACAGTTTCATCCTTTTAGGACCCAAGGCAGAGCGCAGTTTGTCCGAATCTTTTGACAGGATATGGTCGTCTTCGTACAGTGAAATTTAGAAATGCAAACGTCCCTGATCGCTAATTGGTTTATAGTGCGGAAACGCGGTTTCAGCTATTCACGAATATTATCCTGTTGCGCAGTATAAGCATGTAGATCGGGTCACCCGCAAAGTCAGGAGTCATCAGTTTTGTGAGCCTGAACCGCAGGACATGGAGTCGAGAGTCTCGGAAGGTTCATGTAATGTAATCCCTCCTTCCTTCCTCCCTCTCTATTGCTTCATTTCATTCGACTGAATTTTGCATCAAACTCCATACTGGTCATAATATCCTTTATGCGTGACATCAACTACTATACGTGCGTAACTCAGTGCACAAAGTGAATGAGACGTTTGCATATTGCAGTGTCCGTTTTCTTTCTATATCCTTTTCATTCTGATGTGAGTGAAAACGGCTGATCGGCACATTCATCACATCTCAGAAATGCATGATTCTAATTTGTTTGTACTGAGGCAATGAAGAAGTTCGATAGGCATGAAATGAAATGTGATTTGTTCGGGGTTTTGTGATTTACTTTTGATGCGTGCACTGGAAAAACAGTTTCTGTAAGATCGTATGTGCGTTGCATTTCTCGGAATCAAATTGAATTTGGTCGAAAAGAAAAGCTAAATCCCTTAACTGGTTGTCTGAGTTCCTAATCTGAATGAGACAACTAGCTAATTGTCCGAATGTCGCGTCAGCTCTCGTCCCATTAACATTGTCTGTCAGTGTGCTTTCATGTCTATCTTGATCCATATCAAATCCTCAGCTTTTCTGTTTTATTTGAGGTTAGATGATATATCTATCTAATATGGAGATCTTTGAAGATCGATATCCGGGATTAAGCATTCTCTCTGTGTAAGCAGAGCAAGATGTGACAACTTAGCGTATCACATACTCCGCCTACGATTCCCCTCACTAGGTCAGGTGTTTGATCTATAATTCTACCGCCGATTAGAGGTTACCGAGGAGGGAACTAAGTTGATAAATATACCTATCCGTATAACAGATTGTAGATAAATTCTTGCACTTCGTATGCTGTCCCATCATTCGAGAGGCTTCGCGATCCACAACAGATGACTAAACCGCAGATGGGTGCACGAACTGTGCTCACTTTTCCCAAGGCTTTACATTCATTTATGAAAGATTGTGACATTTTGTTTCAAATAGTTCGACGTTTGCCCCATCACGAGTCATTTGTGGATGTTCCGGTCGGTTCATGACCTATGGGTTCTGTTTATTCTACACACGTTCATAGCTGTCCGGATAGCAAAAGGTCATCGATTCTGACTGGTGGACCAAATTTTAGACGGAAACCTTCATGGGATTTTGCATAACAATGGGTTATATGTGCATCAACTGCAAACCGCGTGATATCCATTTAGGCAGACAGCTAAAACAAGACAATATCTCGATCAATGTAAATCACTTCGTAATTGCTGGACAACTGAGATTCACGTTAGTCTTTCAAAGGAATATCTTGGTTGTATTTGTCTTCTGAGTCATTTTTGTATATTCCGCTCGGTGACGGCGAAATGGCTTCCTTCTGTTTATAATTATTTGGTAACAAGAACAATGGCAGAGTTCGAAACTGAAATTAAGGCCTCGTAACCCGTCGGTAACAGTGACTTGAACAGCTTGATAAAGGTGGTATTATTACCGGTACTAGTGATAGGGGTGGGTTTGACCATAATCATAACTATAATTACGGTACACGTTATTCGAATCTGTGATTCGGTCCGGTTCACATAAACGAGATAAGTATCCGTGGATCATAAAGTGTAAACCTTTAAACGGGCCCCATTTGGACAGTCTGGAAAATAGTACAATAACTGGTGTGTACCATAACTGTCGTGTGTTTTTATATCCGTTCTAAACCATTCGTTCATTTTCGTTCCTGTTGAACATTCATTCATTCATTGAGACGTCTGTCAGTCAGTTGACAATTTGTTTTCTGTAACCGAAGGCATACAAGTACGTCCACGTTTGATACAGCAGCTTATTAGCTGTTAAATCTGTGGTACTCATTTTGATTTGTGTAGGACGGTCCACGAAACTTTCTGTTTCGAAGCGAGATTAATCTGTTCTGTTTATCGAAATTAATTAGTCATTGTATTTATCTGGAAGTTGTTGTTCCTATGTCGTTCAGATATCAGATTGCAAACAAATCAGAGTTAATCCCAATTTGGAAGCCCATAAACACCTTGAATTGATGAGTGCTGTTTGTCGCCGTGATATTCCCAATGGAAATTCATACGCGCGCGCATTTGCCCCACCGTGTTCTGACGGTCACCATTGATTTGATCGCCGCACGGCGTTTTTGCCATTCTGTAAAAGCGAGAAATTGACCATCTCACAACACATTCTCTACTCCATGGACTGACACACTTAAATCCCTATCCCGTCTAAATCCCTAAGTGAATTTGTGCGCTCAGGAGGTAAACGATCTGTAGTGTTTACTCTCGCGCCCTCTCGCTGTCTGTCCCTTGCCTACCACGGACGTGTAACTTCTCGTTAAAAAGCGATTGAGCACGATCAACAACCCACTCTCCACACAAACGTGCATGCACACTGGCCTGTTGTGTACGCATTTCGGTTTCGTTACTGGGGCAATAGGACAGCCGACGGTAATAGTAGTAGTAGTAGTAGTATGGCAATTTTTGGTCTGAGCAAATATTATTTTTCTTTCCCTAACAGCGGGACGATCGATGTTGTCCTACGCAGTAGTTATTATGCAATTCAGGAAATCCACAGGTTCCTAAATTAGAAACTTTTTGTTATTATCTTGATTTCCTCTCGTTACCCCCTCTCTCCTCTCCGATCACTCCACAGACAGGAAAGTCTGTATGCAATCCTTAAAGCGTATACCATACGACACGCTGATAAAGGATATTGTCAGGGACAGGCACCTCTAGCCGCAGTACTTTTGATGTTCATGCCCGAGGTGGATGCGTTTTGGACATTCAATGAAGTCTGCGAACGATACCTGGAGGCATATTACGACGATGGTCTGGTGAGTCAGATTTGCGTGTTTGTTTGCCGGACTGATTACCTTGTTTGGCGTTATAATGCTACCTGATTCGACCCATGGAGAGATGATCGATTTTGCGCGATCGGAGTGCTGAAATGCATTAGGAAGGTGGCCCTGTCACGTGGGCACTCTAACCTCAATTCATGGTGCACCTAGAACTTGCGACTTACTCTCACCAGTGTTTGTTTCATCATCTATTGTGTAATAACTTTTCCATAGATGATGGCCTACTGTTCTGACTCATCATCAATGCCATATCGCGTCNAGGGGGGGCTTAATACCCCGTTTGTGACGTGTTTTTCATTTTATTTCCTTTTATTGAATATACAAAGATAGAATTTTCAGGCAGAGAGAAGCGGTCAATTAAAGGACTGGTATTCAACAGCCGATGGCGGAGGTCGGGCTTCGGTGGTGGGATTCGAACACACATCCCCGAGGTGATAATTTGGTGACGTTACCATCGGGCCACCACCGCCCTTCGTCTGTGCGATACAAGCACACAGACAACAAACCGGAGTAGATCTCCTGATACTGGAGATATTCCGATACGGTATTTACTTGATTCTGTTTAAAACCGGCAAGATACCACTACTTGATTCTGGACACAACATGATATCTCCCTCTTCAAAAAACATTCTTTTCCTTCGTCTGATAAATGGACTAAAATACAGCCAATTTTCAAGAGACGTTAAGCGACTAATTAAAGGGCTAACATAGAAAAATTGGGTGGCCATGGTGGGCTTCGATTACACAATCTTTGGGATGATGCATGGGAGATGTACACCACATGATCTCCACCGTCTCGAGAGTATATCACTGTTGTCTGTGTTTCATAGTCAGGGCATACGCACAGTTGCGCGTGCATTCAGAGATAGTGTTTGCCGATCTGAAACACGTGTCGTATTCAAATAGTCTGATTCTCTGGAAGCTGGAGTGCGTCGTGTCACATCCTTCTGCTCCACGTTTACGGGACCTGACCGTCCTCATCCAGAATGCACGTTGGCAGTTTCCACATTGTTGTCACTTTGATCACATCTGCGGCGCCGTCACGACATGCGGCTGTTTATGAAAGGTCGAGTGTATGTCGCAGCAGCTTGGCGCAAAAACTTGGCCATTAAGAAAACAGGGTAAAGATAGACTATCGGTGTTTGAACACCGCTGTCCATGCAGCATTGCACGAATCTGTTGGGGCAGTCGGACAATCAATACTGAGGATAGGCACAGAGTTTCAGGTAATCGCGGTCGCCCACTGGAACAAGTAGTCGACCTCCATAGATTACGTTGGTTGAGGCATGTGTTACGCATGTCACCAAACGGGTTGCCACGGCGAGCGATGTTCACAATCAGGACGGAAGGACAACCTTCCCTCCCACCCTCACCCCTTCGCACCAGTTTACTGGCGAACCGAGTCGAAAACAGTGAGAAAAATGGACAAAAACAGGAATCGAAAAGAGGACATATGTAAACGAACGGGTACAAGCAGAACACTGCCACTTCACAAGCACCTCGGCTGGTGATGAAACGTTTTCAGACAAATTGTCAAGCTCGGCGAACAGGCGAAATGAAATTCAGTACACCCAAGCTATGAGAACCGATTTTCAATAGTTTCTCAAAAGCGTTATCTGTCAAGCTCATTCACACGAACCGCGTCCCGGTTCAGGAGACTCATGTGACATTTGTTCGGTAGCCCCCGCGGAGTTCACGCTCAGTCCAGTATATGGTGACTGTCTGTTAAAACACACATGGCTGGTGCATTGCAAAGTTCTTTGGTATCCAGACCGTCAGTTTTCAATGCTATAAATTTTGTAAGTTGTTGGTGACACTTTCGCTGCAATTATTAAGATAGAAATCCATTAACAATTCGCGACAGGTTCCAATCAAGTCGTCTACCCCAATCCAGCTGGTGTATTGGGTTGGTCTTGTGTTTGAGACGTACAGTATCATATTGTCTGTTCTTGTTTCTCGGCAAATTTCTGTTCATCCCCCCCCTTCGAAACAAGCCGGAAGGGGATTTACCATTTTTTTTACCGTCCAGGAGACTCTTTCTAGTCGGTGCATATTTTTTCGTCCGGGGCTCTGATTGGACTGTTCGTAGACAAGCTTTTTATTGCCTATTCGAGCGTGGTAGACACACATTTAGGGAATTGACCATATGAATGGGAGGCTTAGGATGTATGGTGCAGTATGTTTGAAAGAATGCTGCTCTATCCGACATGTTTTTTGTGTACTAGCCTTCTGCTTGATTTTAAGATGTTTGATTCTTTCCCAGCACGCCTACCATATGTTTATCGTTTGATGGTTGAACTGCCATCCGATGATAGCGACCTCGATCGGGGATTCTGGACCTTAGAGAGAAGAACCACGTAGGACTTTATTATTGGTGTGGTTTTGAGTCAGATGCAACTGTCGTCCACTACCCAAGTTGAATCACGGAAGCAACGTTTAAACCAGGGATGTTCCTGATCGGTTTGCCTGGATGATTGAACCCAGTAAAGAGGTTGGGCTATTTGTGGTTGGTCCGAAATCTGGTTAAACTGTGGTGCACGTGAAGATCTCCTTAGTATCAAGTTTCGGCTGCAAACCGATATTAAATTCAGGTTACTAGTGGAGAATTGTGTGTATCCAGTCTCAGTGTATACACCATAGAGAGAAATTTTTAGTCCATGAGTGGCTAGGAGCCCTCGTGTTTTCAGTATTGACCTTACTGGGTTCTGTTATCCCTTTGAAGGTAACTGTAGTACCCATAGTGAATTCAAACCATGACTTTTCGCTCGGTTTATGTGGAATGGAGTTTTTTTAATATTTGTAGCTGCTTCATACATTGTTTTATCGATCGGCCTCAGCTAGCAGTTTGCGAATACTGATGAATTAGGTTTTCACTTTTCAGTTCATACAACCATTTACCTTGCATTGTTGAATGATGATCTTGTTTCCTAACTTTTGTTTCTTCATTTGGTCCACTAAACTGGGAAGAAATAAATAAGAATGTAAACCAAGTTAAATACGTTGTAATTCGGACTGACCATCCTTCAGACTTTACTTTCCCGCCCCATTCTCAGTCCATCCAAGCAACCATACACCCGGATTGTACTAAACGGGGCTTTCGCTTTCTTTAGAATGCTTATCCACCTTCCTGTC